TAATAATATTTATTATTATTATTATTATTATTATTATTATTATTATTATTATTATTATTATTATTATTATTATTATTATTATTTAGTAGCTTGATGAATAAGTTAGGTTTAGGGCTTTGGGAGTTTTATTTAAAGACTCCTTCTTCTTTGTTATTCAGGCAGTTGATTATGAATAAAAAGATGAATTGATTGTGAGTTTTGCGTGTTTTACGAGAGAGTATCTCGTTTACTCGTTTATCCTTCTCATTCGTACGCTTTCCCCTACATCACTTACCCTATTCTCATATGTACACACTCTTGCACGAGATCTAATCTGGCATGTCCTATACTCATATGTACACACTCTTGCATAAGACTCACTCGGACTATGCCCTATGCTCAGATGTACACACTCTTGCACTTGGGTTCAACTCAATAAACAAGTGGTTCACACGCATACATTGATTATCAGGTTAGACAATTATAAAGAATAACAAACATGGTAAGGTTTATCAACACCCATCTCAACTGCGGATAAGGATGAATGAATGCACGTGAAACTGGGTGAGGGCCCGACTCGACTTAATCATTACGAATTATGGAATTAATTATTATTAGGAGTTTTGATTAATAAGCACATAGGGCAGGTAAATAACCTGGCCTACGAACGAGGACTTCCAGGTGTGACTATTGATTTTGATGTTCATAAATATGACCCTTAGGATATGGATGTTAAGTATGTAGAGGGTTCGTCTTTGGGTGGTTGGGCTCTTTTTGTCGGCTTCCACATCGATGCAGTGGCATTGCCAGCAGCCGAGTTCCCGAAGCTCAACCCCAATTCCATTTACTTCACGGATTCACAACAAGATTCGATGATTGAGAATTTCCCAACTGGTGGCCATGACATTGACATTTTCAATTATGAGAACAAGACTGTGTTGCCATGTTATTTTCCATGTGATGCTAAAAACCTGAGAAAGACTTTCCCAACGCCTATGTGGTTCTTCCCAAGTCGTGAATGATGCCATACTGATTAGTGGTTAAAAATATAAATAAATTATGCTCTCATGTTTATGTGTTAGATGGTCTCGGATCATTCCTTTATTGTTAGTATTGGCATTTCTATTGATGTTTTATTTGAGAATTTTATGTGTTGTGGGAGTGGCTAAACATAGGAAAATTCTAACCTCCCGTTCCGTGAAACTTAAAACCAATAATAAAATGCCACAACAGTTTTTTAGGGAGGTTTTACGGTTACGTTACGGAACCATCTTGTTGGAGTTTGTAACTGTTAGATCAACTATTCATGACGGTTACATGTTGATCTAACGGTTACATATCCCGCAGAATGATTCCGTACTGGACTGTAACATTTTCCAATTTTTTAACCTGCACCATATGCATACTATTATTTTCTTTAACGAATTTGAAAGACCCACGTGAACGTATCCATTTACCTTGTGCATAGAAGTGAATCCAATTAAAAAATTAAAACATACAACAACAACAATAACATAGCCTTTTTGTCCCAAACAAGTTGGGGTAGGCTAGAGATGAAACCCAAGGAAACCAATGGTAAGAGAAACACAATAATGACTCAAAACAAAAAGAAGAGATTGGAGCAAAGAGAAAGGAGCAAAAGTCACGGTTCTTACACGTTGATTGCTAGCCTCCAAGCGCTCATATCCACCGCTAAATCCTTGGAGATATTTCAATCTTTAAGGTCTCTCTTAACTGACTCTTCCCAAGTGAGTTTTGGCCGACATCTAGCTCTCTTTACATCATCGACCCACTGTAGAACTCCCTTACGCACTGGTGCATCAGGAGGCCTCCTTAAAACATATTATAATTTATGGGTTAGGTTCACATGAGAATGGTTCTCAATGAAAGAAATGAGAATACATCATAGTCATTAGATCGGATGATCTAATGGCTAAAAAAAAGTCAAAATTTTACCTTTATTAAGGATATTAGAGTAATTTTACACAACACACACCCAAACATGTGGGCCCCCTTTCACAATTATCCACGTGACCCACCCCATTAAACCAAATTAATGTATCTGACACCAACCTCACCCATCCATCAGCCACCTTACTCCACCCCACCTCACCTTACAATATCTCTCTCTCACACGCACACACACACACACACACACACAAAATCTACACACACACCCATTCACGGCCCAACATCGCCAGGCTGCCGCCGCCACCACCACCACCCGTCAGTCGTCGTCACCATCCGTACCCCCACCGCTGGTCAATCGCCATAACGGTGACTGCTCGTCCGCCACTGCTTATCCGCTGCCGCCCCGCCCGTCGACCTCCCACTGTGCCGCACACTGAGCCGCCTAAAGCCATCTCGACGCCAACTCTCATCACCTCCCCCACCGTCACACCGCCTGCCGGAGGCGGCGACCCTGAGCTCGCACCAAAAGACCGTCGTGTTCCTCTGCCACTGCCGCTATGCGTCTACAGAATCCCAACACACCGCCGTCCACTCCCACCAGTCCTTCTGCCGCCATCGATGCCGACGCACCGTTGCGCCTCACACGCCCCTCTGCCCGCCGCCGTTCACTTCCACCAGCCGATTGTACCCACACGGTCGCGGCCGCCACCTCATTCTCTGAGCATCCGAAAGCCAACGACGTTTAGGAATGCGCGGCGTCCATAGATAAGACGACGCCCGGAATATGGCGGTGCTGCCGCCGTCTGTGGATGTGGTCGGATGTGCGGGAACGGGATGTGCGGGAATGGATTTGGGGAGGGGGTTGTAGGTTTTTTTTATAAAAATTAGATAAATTGCAAGGACTTAATTGCAATTTCATGAAATTTGGTTTATTTCAATTTGGTTCAAGTGCCAAATCTGTAATTTATTGAAAATAAATTAATGTATACTAATTACAAATAAAATCCATATTATATACATAATAATTCATTTTGAATGTTTATATTAATTCGTTTGATTGATAGAATGATTACGAGTTTCAACAAATAATAATATAAAACATAAAATAACAAAATCATAAATATTAAAAATAATTCGATAAATTTTAGTATGCAAATTATAATATATAAAAAAATATTAAAATAATAAATATACTTTTGTAATTTGCTCGTGGAAATATTGGTTTGCTCGGGAAGATATTAAAAATTGTAATATTTTAAAAATAATTCGATTATTTAATTTGCTCGTGGAAATATTGGTTTGCTCGGGAAGATATTATTTGTGGAGCAATATTTGACTTATTCGTGGAATTATTTGGATTATTTGTGGAGAGTTGCATGATTTATTCGTGGAGATATTATATGATTTACTCGTGCATATATTGATTGGTTCGTGGTAATATTTGACTTGTTTGTGGACACACCATTTTATTTATTCGTGGATATATTCAATTTATTTGTGCAAAATTATTTGATTTATCCGAGGAGACTATTTGATTTATTGGTGGAGTATTATGTGATTTATTCGTGGATATTGTTTGATTTGTTCGAGGAGGTATTATTTGATATATTTGAGGAGAATTATTTGATTCGTTTGAGGAATTATGTGATTTATTCGAGGAGATTATTTGATATATTCGTGAGGATTATTTGACTAATTTGCGAAGCATTATTGGATTTGACTAAGGGGAATTATTTGACTCGTTCAAGGAAATATTTGATTTATTTAAGA